TTAAGGCGAGGGGCATGGAGCCGGCTTCCCGATCAGGATGCCAGGCGCCATGTAATGACTCGCCGCCTTATTCCTTATTGGTCGGGAAGCTGGCCTATCAGGAAGCCAGGCGACGAGCCATTACCCACCTCCTGGCTTCCTGAATGGCCAGAAAGCCGGCTCCATGCTTCCTCGTCACCTGGTGATGGAGGGAGCATGGAGCCGGCTTATCGGGAAGCCAGGCGGCAACTTCTGGTATCGGTATTCGATATCTGCGAGTACCGAAAAAAGAAAAATACGTAGAGGATCCCACTTTTGGGTATCGATACACTTTAAAGCTGAACTCAAGGTGGATTTAAAAGAAAGACACAAGTTAATGCAGCTTTGTATTCATTTACACATCATTACAAGCAGTATAAGAACCGCCACTTGCAATCCACTGCATAGAAGTGGAGGGACAACACAAGGAGCCAGTCAGTTGTTCTGCGGTGCTTATGTGCTAACAAAGTACATTCTGGTAGGGGAGAGCAGAGAGAGTCAGTCTGCTGTTTCTCCTTTCACTGCCCAGTCACAGGCAGAGGGTGGGGAGAGAACCTGTAAGTGAACGTAAAGCAGCAGCAGAAAAAAAATCAGGTTTTACTCTCCAGCCAGGGAGGGCTCTACTGTGTACAGACAGAGCTGTGTCAATCTCAGGACTGGATGGTTATAAATAGAAATCATTTGGCACCTAAACCAGCTCCTATATATGCATTTCATCTGTGCATTTAGTTTTTTCCTGATGCTCATCTTTGCACCAGAATCTTAAATTACATCTGGATGTAGGTTCCCCATAACATTATTTCCTTAGCATTATTCTTGGTACAGTGTAGACGTGATGGCCCCGTGATTCGTCGCATGACAAGCACATGCATCAGGAGACAAAATGGTGAACGGCAGCGGCTAATTTAGGATGCACAGCAATGGTCTCCTCACTGTACGAGTCCCCTCATCCGGCATGTGTGGAATCCAGTGGGTCAGCAGCAGTTTTTAGTCTCTACAGAGCAAGGGGGTTGAATTTTTATCCCTCTGTATTTAGACGGAGCCGCATGCTTTTTGTGCTAGGAAGCTGAGCGGATATATATACGTCCACCCAAAATGAAACTCCGAAATCGGATACAACGGTGTCTGTTACAGGACAGCAAATAGAACCAACTAATATGGCCACCAGATTCATGTTTAAAGGACAAATAAACCTGGTAGTACAACCTGTTCTTGGACAAAAGAGACAAATACCATTCACAAATTTTTATGTCAACGTTCCCCCAGAACTTCATTTTTTTGGCCAGAGATGCACTTCAATGAGTCAGCTGTACTTAGAGACGTTTTACAAATTCCAGATCATATAACATTTAATTTATGACTAATCCCCTAATAATAGATGTCACTAGATGGTTATGTGACTTTTAAGTCACTTCCACCCATGACCTTTTTAATTACTGATAAAGTTGTCAACACACGTAGCCAATTGAACGCTGCAATGACAGCCGCCTGGCTTTTGCCATCTCTTGAGAGCATTGGGTGAGTTTTTTTTTAAATATACAAGAAGCAAGATTGCACATCGCAGTTTAAGCTTCAGACTGGACACAACCAGCTTTATTGCTCTTCCAGCATCAGAACATCATAATCAGCACTTCCAGCATTAAATAACATAAGCAGCTTGTCCATAGCAATCAAACACAAAAATAGATCCTAGTCTGTCTCGTTCTAACTACACATTAGAGTCCATTTCTAGCAAGAAAAGGGACAGTCATAATTTCTGTTGCTTGATTTTCGGCCTTTGAAGGTATGTGCAGGCATCTCTAGGTGTTAGTATTCTAGTGCTGTAGTCAGTTTCTCGAATTTGTACAGGTGACAGGTGTACGTCAAAGGGCCATTCCCTGCCAACTAAGAGTGCTGAGCACAGATCATAATGGAGGTGCTGGCTGCAGCATTCAAAAAGCTTTTAGTAAGCTTTACAGCTGCTTGAATTTTTAAACTCCTGCTTAAAATACCCTCCTAATCTCCCACAACTATCACCGTTTGCTGCAATAAATCACAGCCGCTTACTTCCATGGTGAGTCGCAGATAGATGTGATTATCCAATGAGAATGACTGCTGATAACAGATTCTTGTGGCCACAAAAAGTTATCTTCTTGTTGTTTTTAGAAATGAAAGGGTGTGATTAATCATGTCATACTTTTATATACGAGACAACTGGGCAATGACCAATTATCAGGTTGACTGACAATTGCCATGTTTTATGGCCCTTAGGCTATGCTTACCTGGGTGCAGAATACCCATGTGAACATATGCCTTTATGTTACTCAGCAGACACTGCACCCCAGCCTGTGAACGCTGTCCTGAATCCTGATGAGGGAGCCAGCCGGGGAAAACAATGGAAATCAATGGCCAGTCATTGTATACCATGTTCATGTTGGTTCTACTGCATATGCTCTGTTAAACCCAGCACATAGTAGACTGTTGGTGAGATTCAGAACTCATCATCTAGCAATCCAATGTAATGTTCATCTGAACAGGGCCTATCTATTTCCAACATCCCTGTCTTGCGCTGATGAACTGATGGGGTCGAATGAGGTTGAAACCGTTGGGTAGAATCTGAACTAGTACAACTGCACCACTGTTTGTATTACACTGTCTCGGTGGAATACACAGACTAAACACTTCAGATATCTACAGTTTCCACATAGCAACAGGCACAGCTTCCAAAATTACCACAGGTCACAGCCTTCCAGAGTCTGTGCAAGCATTAAAAAAGACACATATTGTATAAATACTGGATACCAATATAAAGTGTACGTAATGGCAAAATTCTCCAAAGGGAGATGACATCCGAGCTTA